GGGGGGGGGGGTAGTGGAAGGAGGGTTGAACACGTTTTCACCGTTGGAGCGGGGGGCTCGGTCGGAGCGGGTGGTGTGATGAGGTAGACTGTCCCGTCAGGCACCGGTGCGCTGCGGGTCTGCCCATCCTCCGACCCGCAGGGGCTGAGCCAACCGAAGCTGACCCTCGCGCCGCTGCGCTCGCTCCGCCCTGGAGCCACTGACAAAGCTAAGTTAGCTCTCCATTGTTCTACTTTTACTGTTAATGCCAGTACGCCTAACACATAACGGGAGGAAAGAGGTGTGGCAGAGGGTCGACATTCTGAAACGAATTTCATCACTCTATCTGGGAGCGACTTAAGCTTTAATCCGCTTTCATCGCTCCTGTAGAGCGACCATTTAAATTGTTCTAGAGGCGTAAAAATGCGACGCTCGATTTAGGCAAAATATTTGACTCTCACATGTACACTGGGGAGAAAAGGCGTGGTATTCTTACTCTGCTACAGTGAAACGATGCTTCTACCATTTGGATTCTCTTAGTCAGAAACTTCTGTACACCAACTTCACATTAACGAGATCAGTGCGGCTCGTTTTGTGGCGACTTTTGATTTAATAGAGGAGCGTGATGACTAAATAGTGGTCACGCAACACTGGACGTTTTCAGCTACAGAACTCTATGACCCAACCACATGCTTTTAGCCTCAAAGGGAACCTTTTTATGTGTGTAAATCTCCGATTTTGCTAAAACTCGAAACATTTAAAGGTCATTATTATAGCTGTCGGGTGGCACTTGAAGTTTTTCCTAAACCTCACAGTTAGTGGGGGTTACACTGAGGCTACACTGAAAAATGACGGTTTCTTCTTGTCAAAATACCGGTTGTTAAGTAATGTTTAATATTTCACCTCTGAACCCTGCTGTATCCCTCAAACTGTTTTTCTTGCTACTCTGGTACCGTTAATAAATTCAGTTCACAATACGGAACCAATTTGATACTGAGAAAATTAGTTTTTGCGGTTTAAAATCCCATGCGCATTTGGTTTTGAGCTATGATGTTGAAAATTTGGGGAGACCTACTTTGAAGTGCCCTCAACACTTTCTATTGACCATAATTACACATTTCATTTGATTTTTGTAAGCAAAAGAAATAAATAAGCCGAAATTTTCAGTATTTTTGAACTTTTAAAAAGTCCGAAATAAACCAAAATGTTAAACATCATCCAAGACATAAAATTGAAGATGTAGTCGGTACAATATAGAGTAAAACTGAGTTTCCACTGGTAAAACAAAGGTGCTAAATCACACCTTTTAAAGGCATTAAAGTTCTAAAGGTGTTAACGTTTCAGTTTTTTCGAAATATTTTCTGCTGAAGCAAACCAGGATTTGTAGGACCAATATTTTCGCATTCAGCTCAAAATTCCGCTGTGAACGAGCCTACGTGTGATATGTGTCTGAAGAACGGCGAAAAAAGTAACTGACCCTCACAAATCTACTAAATTTCTTTCATTTGGGATTTGAATCCTATCACATAGGCTTGATCGAAGCGGAATTTTGAGCTGAATACGAAAATATAAGTTCTACAAACCTTGGTTTGCTTCATCAGAAAATATTTGGGAAAAACTAAAACGTTAACGCCTTTTGACTTTAACGCCCCTGGAAAGGTGTTAATTCACACCTTTGTTTTACCAGTGCAACGAAATCGGAGATTTACACCTGAAAAGGTGCCCTGTCAGGCTAAAAGCATCTGGTTTGGCATAGAGTTGTGTAGTAGCTGAAAACGTTCAGTGTGGCGTCTCCACTATTTAGTTACGCTCCTCTATTAAATCAAGCACACTGAACTTTACTAAATACAAGCTTTTCTACGTGAAGTAAAGACGAGCTCTGCTTCGCTCCCACAGGTCAGGGGTCAGGGGGCTTCCTAAGATGTATGCCATATTTCTGGACCTAAAGGACGTAATTTCCAATTTTCCTGCACTGTTGAATTTCTTCAAATGGATGTTTTGTAATTGCAAACCAAATGCTTCGTAGTTTTATAGAATCTAAATCCTTCACAATCCTGCGAAGCATATGCTCTGCACGAATTAACCAGTGTGAGTCCCAGACGAGGGGTACACCACTCTTAAAAGTAGGTGTACGCGCTTAAAAAAGTCAAGAAAAAAGTCAAGATAAAGTCAAAAAGTCATTTGAAAAGTCAAAAAAAGTCAAAAAGTCAAATAAAAAGTCAAAAAAGTCAAATAAAGTCAAAAAGAGTCAATGAAAGTCGACGAGAAGTCGAGGAGAAGTCAGGGAATAGGCACTGAAAAAGTCAACAGAAAGTCAACATGCGAGTGCAATATCTGCCTGTAAGGGGCAAAAAGCTACGGAACTGTGATTGTATCGGAAAGACCTAGATCACTGTCTTTTAAAGAGGGAGGGGGGTGGGTGGTGGGTGAAGTGAGAAAAATAAAATTATCGGATTTCATGGGATTTCCTCACCAAAAAACGTAAATACTGAAAGTACCTTGTTTTTCTTACTTAGGGGGTGTACTCTGATGACGAATTTTCTTCTTATTCGATTCATGCTATAAATAGTTCCAAAAAGTCTTGGAAAAACCTTATTACTAGCCCAAAAATTACAACTCTCCCTTATTTAACAAAAATAGCAGGGAAAAATCATAAAAGTCAAATAAATTGGATCAAAAAGTCAAAAACAAAGTCAAATAAAAGTACAAAAAAAGTCAAAAAAAGTCAAAAAGTCACGGCCCCAAAAAAACGACTAAAAGTAGGTGTACGCCCAGAATGGGAGTGATGTACCCCTCGGTCCCAGATCAATATCGAGAAGTGACGTGGTTTTCGATTTTTGCGACCCTTTTCTTTACACCTTTGCTGCTCCGTGCTGCTCCCCAGGTGTTCCAGCTCGTCTACAGCCCCGCCGTGCACGTGCACATGGACCCGCCCACTGTTCCTTTACACCTCGCTGCTCTACAGGTTCCCGCGGGCGCGCAGGTGTTCGTCTACAGCCCCGCCGTGCACGTGCACATGGACCCGCCCACTGTTCCTTTACACCTCGCTGCTCTACAGGTTCCCGCGGGCGCGCAGGTGTTCGTCTACAGCCCCGCCGTGCACATGGACCCCGCCCACTTCCCGGAGCCGGAGCAGTTCGAGCCGGACCGCTTCCTGGCCTCGGCCGGCCGGCACCCCTTCGCCTACCTGCCCTTCGGGGCGGGCGCCCACACGTGCATCGGGCAGCGGTACGCGCTGCTGCAGATCAAGAGCACGGTGAGCGTGCTGCTGCGCCACTACCGGCTGCTGCCGGCCGGCACGCCGCGCAGCCCCGCCGCCCTGCACGACATCCGCACCAACGTGCTGGTCACTCAGCGCGCCCGCGGCGGCTACTGGATGCGCCTGGAGCCTCGGCGGCCGCCACCCGCGGACCCGGCGACGGGATGACACTCCGTCACCACCCAATCTCACCCAGCTCAAATAGATTAACAACACAAACGCTGTGAAACTGGAGCACTCTATGGGATCGTCCAGAAAGCTTTCCAGTTCGTCTTTCTTTCACACATTCATTCTCCAAATTATGAGAGCTCGGCGCCTGCGAGGCTCAGGGTAGGCTAACCCACAGTACATGCGTGCACTGAAGTCAAGATGTTGCCTATATACGAGGTGTTAGGTAGGAGAGCTGGAGGTGGCCGAACTTGGCAGGTTCCAAACGGCGAATGACGGACGTGCTTTCCGGATGATCCCTAAGGCCTTGTGCACAAATTTTTGTCACTCGTTACAAATAAAATGATGTTCCTATTCGTGTAATCAGACCTACTGTCCTCTAGTTCTAGTCATACCGACCAGGCCGCTCTGGGTGTTAGAGAGGCGTTGAATGTGCTGCCTACCCCCAGGGCGGTGGCTTGACTCACCGATGGCAGCGCGTGCTAACTGGCGTGCCTGTTGACATACGTCCCCACCAACACACTTGCTACTAAGTTGTCGCCAGGGACCACAAGTCAAGACGGCACAAGCACGTTCAGTCACGACCAAGTAAGTTAAACAGTTCCCTGTTTCGGTTGCTAGCCCACCTCGCTGAAAATTATATGTAACTCAGAGGTGCAGGCGAACACGGATCACACAGGGGGTAGCAACCCCCCCTCCGTGACCCTATCCCTGTCCTTGACCCCTCCGTAGAAAGGATATTTTGTGAGCGCACCAATCTTTTAAACTACACATGACATTTCAAAAACCGGACTTTCTCCTTGTAATACCAACAATACTTGGTTATGATTATGATCAATTTCTTCGAGTGCGAAGGCCGCATTATTTCTTATCTCCAAAGTTTGCTGAAATTAGCCCCGCGCATTCCCAACACTAACGCGCCCCGCTTATCGCCTAGCCTCCCGTGTCTGTCCGGCTGTCTCCGCGGAGGCCTCGCGTTATCGTGCGGAGTTTCGAACGCTCCGAGTACAAAGAGGGCAAAGCCCTTTACGTAGTCTAGTCTGAGGCGCGTCTGTGCCGCGGGAGGACCTCGCGCGCTCGCGGGTGCCAACACAGGGGATGTCAAGTTAAAAGCATCCGTACGGACGGACGGAAATCTGCAAGTGACTAGTAACCAAATTATCTACACGAATGTTTTGGGGTATGCTAAAGCCATTTCCGATATCCGTTTGTACCTCCAGGGTCACCCGGGATTGTCATCGGCAACAAGGTCTCCGATGACGTCCCTCGGAAATCGGCCTGGGAAGGTCCTCGATACGATGACCCTGGTGCAGGTGCAAACAGATATCTCGAATGACCTCAGAGACTAGAGAACTTCCGAATACCGATATGCCAGAAAAAGACTTCATCGGTGGTCCTGGCTACATCGGCACGAAAATCAAACCTGTTGGTTAAGAGCTGTTACTGATGGGCGTTTACCCAACATCGATTGCGATCACCAGCACCAGCAGAACTTTGTAACATAGGCTGTTTTTTTTTTTTTTTACCGAAGAATAGACAGTTGGCATACAACCAAAACATAACCAAAGTGACACGTGGGTTTACTCCAGGCAAGGTCGAGCCGTTAAATATGCTTTCGGTTCGAGCACATATGATTTTGTTTTCTGAGTGTGACGATATTGCTTTTGCGTGATTTTTCAGTAAGATTGTGCCGTATGAAGACAGAGTGTAATAAATAAATAAAAAGAAGAGGGCGAGAGAGCGATTGACGACTGACTCACGCTTTCATCAGCTAAAAAGCCGCTAACTGCGAGCTAGGCTCGGCTGCCGCCGCCGGCCGGCTACCGCTGCCCGGCTGCTAAGCTGTAGCTCGGGCAGCGCGTATGCACTTAGACCACAGGGCGCGGAAGCTGAAGCAGGCAGACGAAACGACGAGTCATTTGCACAGACGGGGCCAGGTCGGCCAAGACAAATAAAGTGTGGAAGTGTGGCCCGCTCCGCTGCCTCGCCCCCTACTCCGGACCGGCACTGCAGTGTTCAGGCTGTTCCCCTCGTAGGGCCATGGGTGAGCACGCGCTCCAGTTCTGCCCTAAAACGGGTCGCTCTCACGCGACTTCCCCTGTCAGTGTTGTTCCCATCACAAACGTGGACCCACGAGGAACAGTCCAGAGGGCTCAGTTTCGCCGGTGTCAGGTGTGAGGGTATCCTGGCTGGTTCCGGCGCTGCACTCGCGGCAGCTCAGGACGCCTGCAACGTGCGCAGCGTCGCATGCCCGCCGGACGGGACGGGCCCAACCTGCGGCTTATCGGAAATGACAAAGGCAGATTGCAAGAGACGCGCTCGACTGAG